GCAGGCCAGTGCCCCAGGTGGCAGAGCCAGCATCTGCTGGGCTTGGGGCTGGTGACACTCGTTCACATCCATCCTGTGGTCCTGGTCCATACGTGCGAGTACCGACCAGCAGGGTAAGCACCAGTTTCGACACTCTGGGCTTCCTCACACTGGAGAAAAAGTCACTTGGGCACAGCTTGAGCCCTGAAGGAGAGCATGACCCCAGCCCCATGATCCGCTTGCGCAGCCCCTGCAAGCAGCCCTGGCGTGGCACGCTGCCTGCTGCTGCTGGGAAATGAGCAGGCACAGGGGCTCCTCTTGTCACTTGGCTGACTCATGGGGACTTCCAGAGCTTTAGTAGCTTGACTGCATGTCTGAGGCAAAGGAAATACAAGGCCAAGTGTTTGGGATTGCTCAGCTCCCAGAGCTTGGTGGGAGCTTCCTGGGAGCTGTGCACAGGCAGGTGCTGGAGGAGTGATGGGTTGAAGGGTGAGATGCTGGAAAGCCCCCGACACACCAGCTGGTTTCCAGTTAAACACAGTCAGACAGCAAGGGACTTGTTGCCTTAGTCGTAGCCATGTGCCTAACGTTTGTTTTTGTGGTGACCTCAGACTATCCCTTTCCTCAGAGCAACGCAGGACAGGCCATGGGACAGACTCACCCAGGCAAGATTTCTGCTTGCACTCACCTGAGGTGTTGCCTGGGATAACAGGGGTTATCAGGACTTAACCCTTCGCAGCTCCCACTGGTGCAGCAGCCTGGCTAAGTGAGGCCAGGAAGGGGTGCTGCAGAGCTGCCCTCAGAAGGGTCTTTTGTGGCAGGGGGAAGCCCGGTGGCTAATGGGGACCTTCTCCACCTGCCTGTTGCAGTCATGCTGAAGGCAATGCCACGCAGCGGATGTTGTTTGCCTTGGCTTTTGGCACTGTCCCCCACAGCATCCTCATAGACGAGTTGACAAAGTCCGGGCTAGATAAGTGGACAGTGAGGTGGGTTGAAAACTGGCTGAACGGAGGGCTGTGATCTGTGGCACAAAGTCCAGCTGGAGGCCAGTCACTAGTGGTACATCCTGAGGGTCGGTACTGGGGACAGTTCTGTTTAACATCTTCATTAATGACCTGGACAACGGGACAGAGTGCACCCTCAGCAAGTCTGCAGTTCGTGCAAAGCTGGGAGGAGTGGCTGATAATGCCAGAGGGTCATGCTGCTATCCTGAGGGACCTGGACAGGCTGGAGAGAAGGGCTGAGAGGGACCTTGTGCAGTTCAGCAAGGAGAAGTGCCGAGCCCTGCCCCTGGGGAGGAACAACCCCAGGCACCAGGACACGGCCTGGTCCGCGCCAGCAACCTGCCCTTGACACACAGGTGGCCAGCAGTGTCCTGGGCTGCATTAGGAGGAACGTCACTGCTGCAGGTCAAGGGGGGGGATCCTTCCCCTCTGCTCAGCACTACTGAGGCCACACCTGCAGTGCCAAGGCCAGCGTTTTGACTCCTAGCTCGGGCTGGCACGCATGGCCAGATGAGGAGACGAACCCTAGTCCCCCTCAAACAACCTGCCTCGGGATCTGTAGACCATGCTCAGGCTCTCTGTCCCACTGCCCGAGGAACAAGCGTACCTCGAATTAGCCGCTTTGTCCTTGTCACCATCTCCCCATTCAACTCAGACCTTATGCTGACAGATTTTAACCTGGCTGACGGTGCAGTTGGCTTCATGGCTGATAGCGAGCCTCTAGCAGGACTCTAGCCATCCAGGAACCTGAACCAGGCTCTGTCTGCACCGGGGGAAGGAGCGAGCCACGACCAGAAAGCAGCTCGTAGCAAGGGTGAGTCCCAGAGCTCAAGGTGAACTGGACCCAAGGATGGGACTGGTGTGGAGGCACACGTGGAGGGAGACAGGCACTTGAAAAGGTGAAGGTTGCATCCAGGATGAAGGAGTGCTGGAGGTTAGGTGCCCCCAAGGGAGCATGGAGAGAAGCAGGCGATGGTGCTGTGTCCCCTCTCCTTCTGCCATATCTTCCCTTGGCTCCTGCTCCCCACACTGGACCCACAGCCCCTGTGTGCTCTTGGCATTTCTTTTTTTTTTTTTTTTTCAGGAAATAAAAGCACTCTCCGGGATGATGTCCCTGACCGCTTGGTGAGTGGGGGTGCCTCTCTGGCCTAGGAGAGGGCGGCCCAGGGAGATGCTGCTGGGTGGGGGACTCCCATGGGCCAGCTCCCCACGAGGTCCCAGCAAACCCCGTCCCTGTTGGCCAGTAAATGGGGACTGAGGCAGTCCCGCTCGGGTGTCGACACTGCTTCCCTCCCTGGTCCGGAACTGAGGAGAAGGGGTTTGGGGCTGGTTTTGCCAGATGGGCACCACACACACGTGATGGGGCTGCTGTTCTACAGCAGGTGGAAGACCTTGATGCAGTCCTCTGGAAGATGGTGGCAGCGGGTGAGCTCCAGAGCCAGGGATTTACCCAAACAGACCAGGCCCCTCAGCAACCCAGCAAGAGAGGTGAGTGTCCAGCTCCCAACGAGTCCTGGGACCCGACCCACCACTGACCTGCAAAGAGGCTATGGCAAGCAGGGGCTGGGCTTGGGGTAGAGAATGCTCATGACTTGGGGTGGAGGGTGCTCGTGGTTGGGGTGGAGGATGCTCGTGACTTGGGGTGTCCATGGTTTGGGGTGGAGCGTGCCCATGGTGTGGACTAAGGCATTCAGCTCCCAGGCTGTGCTCCTAGAACTGAATTCAAAGGCGAAGGAGAGCCTAGGAGAAGAGATGGACATCTCCCTTCCTTTAAACTTTCCGGCCATAGCCAACCACTTCTGCAGCCCCTTGCATGAGTGTCTCTTCCTTTTTCTCCCAGCTTGCTTCTGGAAATACTGTGTCACCAGATGAGGGGTACAGGAGGAGCTCTCCCGGCCGCCTGCCTGCCAGCCCGCTCCCTGCCACTGCCATCCCACTGCCTTCCGGCGGGGCCATCCGCGCGTGACCCCACACCTCGCTGTGCGATGGTTTGCACAGAGCTTTGAAAGGTCTCTGGTCCCTTGTGGGGAAAAGGGGAGAGGGTCTGCAGCAGAGGAGGGGTGTCGTGGGGTAGGGGGAGAGTCCCATGAGGATCCGGGGTGCAGGACAGTGTTTCTCCCATACCAGCAGACCTCTAGGACCCATGGCAAGGCAGAGCTGCCACCGTGGCCTAGCAGGGACATGCTGGCTGCCAGCAGGAGCTGAATAAACAACCCTCTCACCAGAACAGCGTCCTGTGGCTACTCCATCCCCACACCGTGCAGGGTCCTGCATCCTCCCACCGCCGCGTGCAAGGCGTGGGCAGATTGCAGTGCATGTGCCCTGGGGAGGGGACATCTCTCCTGCAGGCAGAGCAGGAGCTGCCACGGGCATCCCAGTGATCCAGGGCGGCAGAGACTGGGGGCTACAGCTTCACTTATGCTAAATCTCAAGAGGGTTTCCACTGTGGGGAAGCCCCCTCCACCCCCTGCAGCACCCTCCATGCCCAGTGGCCTTGGCCCATGCGCTGACAGTACACAAGCAAGGCATATTAAAATATAGTTTATTGCTGTTTTTAGTTTAAAAAACCCAAACAAACCAAAACCCATTAGTAACAAACCAGTCCCCAAACCCGGTGCTATCAGAGGCAGGCTTGCAAGGACACACCTTTTAGTGCAAAGAGGGAAGTGGCAGTGAGGGCTGGAGGGGGGTCTGCCTTCGCCGTGTCCCCGCAGGACCCACCACACTCACTGTACAGTATTTTTTTGCCCGCGGGGGTGGCTGGGGAGGGCTGGCTGAATTCACAGGCACTGGCAGGAGCCCTTGGGGGAGCTGGAGGTATCAGATGGGGGAGGATGGGATGTCATGGCTGTGCAGAGCGGCTTTGACTCCTCTTGCATCAGCGACACTGGACGGGAAGGCACAACGCTGAGCCAGGGAGCACCAAACCTGCCCACATACCTCCTACAGACACAGCGCTTTGGAAAGCAGCTTTTGCCTGCCCTTTTAGGCTCTCTGGTACTGGAGTGTGGAAACCAGATGGATGCCCCACCCCATGCCTCCGTCTCCCAGTCAGGACCTGAAATGTTGGTGGTGTCTGGGGAGGGAGTGGTGGAGCTGGAGCTGCACGTTGCTGCATCTCCTGCAGTGTCCTGCAAGGCAGGGAGAGGTTTCTTAGCTCACAGGAGCCAGGCGGGACCTTGCAGCCAGCAGCACATGGCCCTGGGTGCTGGCACACGTGGGAGGGATGCCCTGATCCTCAGCCCTCCACCCTCAGCCCTTCGTGAGTCCCCGCACCCATCCTTCCCTCCCACAGCAGGTCCTGGCACTTCTGCGCCAGGCATCATCCCCAGCATCTTCCGGCCCCCATGTCCTAGTGGGGAGTTAGATGCACACTACAACTCTCTAGCAGTGAGAACAATTTGTCACTGCAATAAACTACCGGGGGCAGAGCCTTTTGGTGTCTTCAGATGGAGCTGGGATGGAAGAGAGGGCTTGCCCAAACGCAGGCTGCGGGGTGCTGTGGAGAAGGGCGACCGGGCGAATTCAAACAGCTGCAGGCCAGGAGATGCGCTGGGATCCCGGGACGCCTCTTCCCGAGCATACGGGACGACTGGGACTGCACTGGCAGAGCAGAGCAGCTCCAGCAGCGGATGGGGAGGCAGGGCTGGACCAGCCGTCTGGGGGGTCTCATCTCTTCTACCAAAGTGCCGCTGCGGAAGTAGCGCTTGGCTTTTCCCATGATGCGTGGTCACAGGCCCACGAGACGCTTTTTCGGTGAGTAGGGATGCAGTTGCCACTGCAGCCGTGCAGGGGTCGGTCCGTACACGCGGTCAGCACTGACAGCGCATGGGGGCTGCAGCCAGCCGGCAGAGGAGGAGGAGGGAGCGGCAGGGGGCTGCGAAGCAATGCGCTATTTCTGAAAGGCGGGGGGTAGCGATGCCGTAAACCCCCTCCAGTCCCTCCCTCGGCTGGGGTTTGGTTGTGTCAGGACTGCGGAGGTGGAGGGCTCGGCCAGGGGCAGTGCTGCCGGCGCACCCCGCAGTGGGGTTAGGTCATCTTCCTGGCGACGCTGGCGTAGGTGTGCTCTATCTCCTCGTCCGCGGGACATGTGTGGCTGAACTCATCGCAGGCGTAGGCATTGTTGAGGTAGCGCCAGACACCCGTCATGTCCGCTGGGATCTCGAAGTCGCGGTACTTTTTGGCTGCGATCTAGAGAGGAGAGGAGGAGGAGGCTGAGACTTCTCAGGCCTGAGGAAGATTCGCTCTCTGGCTGGGGGGGGGCACAAACACAGGATCCCCCAGCCCCCTGTTTGCGCCACCCTACCCTGTCACCCCCTCTTGGAGTGGGTGCCCCCACCTGGGCCCTGGGAGCCGGTGCCATTACCTTGATGATATGCAGTTTGGGCAGGAGGTTGCAATCAGCCAACGTCAAGTGGTCTCCGTCCAGGAATTTCCTCTTGGAGACGGTGATGTCCTCCATGCTGTCCTGGTCAATCTCCTCGGGCAGAGGAGCGTTTAGGTAGACATCCAGCCGCTGAAACTCCCGCAGCAGGGCCTTCTCAAAATCTGGGTGGGCAGGGAAACAAGTGCAGTTAGCCTGGGCTCCCAGCACAGCCCTGGGCTGCGCCGGGGTGGCTGAGCCTCTCCCAGGCTTTGCACACGGGGACAAAGCCCTCAGGGCCACACCGGTGGTGCACAGCACTGGACCCTGGCCAGAGTCTCTGCTCCCAGGGGATCCCAGCAGCATCACCCCATGCTCTCCCCCAGGACCCGCTCCCCTCAGCACCTGCACACGAGGAGCACAGGACTGCCTTCACCCTTCCTGCCCGCTCCTCCGCTCGCCAAGGAGGCTTTGGTGGAAAGGCAACAGGAACGCTAGCCTGGTGGCAGGATTTGCCCACAGACAAAAGCGTCTCTCCGCCCCCCAGCATGGCAGATCACAGCTCCACAGCCCCCACCCGCATTTCTTACTGATATTTGCTTCCTTGCGTGGGTTCTTGATGTACGCCGAGAACTTGGCAAAGATGTCGCTCCCCACATCGAACGACTCCTTGTACTTGGGGCTCAGGTGTGGATACCTTTAAAGAGACACTCGTGTCAGTGCGGGCAAGGATGGAGGCAGAGATTCAACTGCGTGGTCCTCAGCTGCGTTATCTCCTGGGCCATGGTGCCCGGGGCTGGTACTGGAGGATGCAGGTGGTATTCAGCTGATTGTGGGAGAACGGTGATGCTTTAAATTACTGCAGCTGCCACCCTGGGAGCTGTATCATCTTGGGTGTTTGCTAGGGGAAAATCACAGGGCAGAAACTCCACGGTTTGGGGACACTGGTGGCATCACAGGGCAGAGCTCTGCCTGCAGGCAGCTCTGGCACAGCCCAGAGGACGCGTGTCGGCACGGGAGGGGTCGGGGCAAGCCAGAAGCTCCCGTGGCTTCCTCAGGAACAGTCTCTTGTTTGCTGATGCGTCTCAGGGCGCATTGCAAGGGCAGACACGTCCGAGGAGGCAGATGACGAATGCGTTTGAAGCTTCCTCTTTTGCACGCGGCGGGAAGGCTTGCAGCCGCGCAGGACACGAGGTGGGCTGGCTTGGCGGGCTGCGGGCAGTGCCCTGCATGAGCTCAGGGGGGACCGGCCCCCCCCGGCAGCCCTTTGGGCCAGCTGGGCTGCTGCATTCAAGCAATGGCATTTGCTTTCACTCAGCCGAGTGCACCGGACACGAGCGGGCAAAGGGGGTCTCACGTTTCCCCTCTGCCTCGACACCAACTGCCACAGCCAGCTGCAAAACCACCAGCTCCCAGGGGGTGCCCACGCCCGCAGGGACCTCCCCCTGCTCTCCCTCTTCCCCCCACAGCCCTGCCTGCGCCAAGGGACCACTGC